ACAACTTTCATCGTCAGAATCACAATGCTAACATCCAGGGAGAGCTTATGTGTAAACACAAGACGTGATCACAAAACTACCAGTTACCTGTTTCAATCGCGGTTAATAGTTTTCTTTCTGCAGTCAGACCGCGATATCTAGCGAATTCACCACACTTACCACCATAAGCTCACGTTAACGGAAACAGCAATTGTGAATCCAATCGGACAGCTTTTAACTTACCCCTATGTAAACTAAGAGGAACGTTAGAAATAATGATATAAAGTATCAGGACTATAAGAATTGTCTAGATAACGGAACTCTCATGAGGCATAATTAGAGTTTTATAAGAAACATTGATCATCAACTTGAAACATTCAATCAAACAAAGATTTTCCTATCTCCACTTGATTATAAAAGATACATTCTAGATGATGGAATTACAAGTCTTCCATATGGTCATTATTTAATTCACTAAGTTTTCTTTCCAGCTCCAGACCCTCAAGATAGATTTTATCATCAAGTCTATTCCTCAACCACCGCCCATAGAATTTACACGTATACGGCTCATACCTAAGAATGGGATAAACCTTCCCAAATAGTACATCCTCACAGCGCACAATAACACTATTATCCCTAGCGTCCAAAACATCAGTGTAAATTCCAAGCATACTACAAACTCTAATAATAATAGTCTTCATAAGTGGAGGCTTAACCCCAATATTATCCAACACCCTACGAATTTCAATTACTTTTTCAATTATTCTATTATAATCATTACCTCCATGATATTTCATAACAAGCCTTCTAATCTCATATTGTTTCCAAGACATTATATATAATACCTGCGGTATAGGAAATAATGATTTCAACTGAAGTAATAGAGTATGAAGGAGAAGACAACAACCTATTTCTTGGTCACCACAAGGGTAGCAATGAAATGATAACTCAAATACTGAAGGAAACCGGGAATCACAAGGTTGTAGTTGTATGGAAGCCGCAACCATTAGATAGAATAGTTGCAGAGGTTGAGGGAACACACGCGGGAATTATTCTAATGTTTTCAGGTCCACTCAGAATTATGGTTCATAACCCGACAATAGTACACAAGGGTGAACAGTACCTTATTGAAATTGTATGGGTAAAACGCAACATTCCCTCGACATTTTTCTCTGTAGTAGGAAAAATTATTTCAAGAGTAAGTGATCATCTAGTAATTCCGCTAGAATGCAAAACGGACGAGGACCGTGCAAAGAAGTATGTTATTGAACAGTGTATTTGCACAAATGATAAGACAAGGGACATAAGCAAACATACACACAGACCTGACACAACCACCGAGTTTTTCCTTAACGAGGACGGCATTCCCCAGATGAAAACTTACCACCCAACACAAGAGCCGTTGCCACCGCAGAAGTACCGCATAGATTTATTCAAGCTAGATTAAATATCACAGACTCACTACCGAAAGGCCGCATAATTTTATACAACTCACCGCACAATTTTAACTAAATAAGGAAGACGTACCGTAAATAAACTCATGAACATTTTATAAATAGATTTAAGACATATCACCAGTAAACTTAAGTTATCACATATAACCTTACAGGTAAATCTAAGACCTCTCACAAGTAACTTGTAGATGACCTTACAAGTAACTCATAGATGCTCCCAGACGATCTTACAAGTAAATCTGAGACATCTCACAAGTAACTCACAGATGCTCCCAGACAATCTTACAAGTAAACCTTAGACATCTCACAAGTAACTCATAGATAACCTTACAGGTAACTCATAGATGCTCCCGGATGACCTCACAAGTAAATCTAAGACATCTCACAGATGACCTTACAAGTAACTCACAGATGCTCCCAGGTAATCTTACAAGTAAACCTGAGACATCTCACAAGTAACTCACAGATGCTCCCAGACAATCTTACAAGTAGACCTGAGATACCTCACAGATGACCTTACAAGTAACATACAGGCACTCCCAGACGATCTTACAAGTAAACCTGAGACATCTCACAAGTAACTCACAGATGCTCCCAGACAATCTTACAAGTAAACCTTAGACATCTCACAGGTAACTTTAAGATGTCTCATCAGATGATCTAAGTTATCTCGCCAGATATCTCACCAGTAGATTCAAGTTAACTTACAAGTAAATCTAAGACATCTCACAAACAGGTCTAAGTTATCTTACAAGCAAATCTAGGATACCTCACCAGATGCTCCCAGATGATCTCACAAGTAAATCTAAGACATCTCACCAGCATGTTCAGGTTACCTCACAAGTAGATTTAAGTTATCTCGCCAGATATCTCACCAGTAGATTTAAGTTACCTTACAAGTAAATCTAAGATATCTTGCAAGCAGATTTAAGTTATCTCACCAGTTACCTTCCAAGTAAATCTCAAGTAGATTTAAGTTATCTTCCAAGTAAACCTCAAGTAGATTCAAGTAAACCTAACAAAATGACCGTCATCACGCTCTCTCACAATATCTCCCTCATGAACTCCATCATCATCCTCAACAAACTCTTGTAGATAAGGAGCCGTCCATCTCTTCCGCACACATCGCGCTAACATGTTCTTGTGCTCACGAGCCTTATTCATATACATCCAAACAAGACCTAAGCAAACTATTGAAAATATTAGATTTGTCTCCTCCATATAGTAATCCTAAGGTTTCACTCAAGGCAGGTCCCTTGAGAACCCCGCTTCCTAGAACAGGTGGGACCCGGCTTTGGTCCCACCCCGGGTTTCCCAAAATCAACTCCTCTTACAGGATATCCTTCTCAAAATTATCAAAATGGAGGGCTGCCTTATGGTTACACAGTCAATACGGCAAATCGCTCAGATCACCTCAATATCACACGTTTTAGTTCTCACACAACACTCACATACAACAAAAACATAAGTATCACAACATCACACTCAACTCATCAAATTTCCAACACTGCAGGACAAGATGAACTGACAAGGTACCCTTTTCAAAATTTTTAGAACAGAGCACTACCATATGATCACACAATCAATATGGCAAAACGCTCAGATCACTCTAATATTACATGTTTATGTTCTCACACAACCTCTTCAGACTCATAATAACACGTGGAACACCTTATCTAAATCCTCCCCAAACTCATTCCAAACGGGTTTTTTAAAAATTTTATTTTATTTTATTTTATTTTATTTTATTTTATTTTATTTTATTTTATTTTATTTGGAATGAGTTTGGGGAGGATTTAGATAAGGTGTTCCACGTGTTATTATGAGTCTGAAGAGGTTGTGTGAGAACATAAACATGTAATATTAGAGTGATCTGAGCGTTTTGCCATATTGATTGTGTGATCATATGGTAGTGCTCTGTTCTAAAAATTTTGAAAAGGGTACCTTGTCAGTTCATCTTGTCCTGCAGTGTTGGAAATTTGATGAGTTGAGTGTGATGTTGTGATACTTATGTTTTTGTTGTATGTGAGTGTTGTGTCAGAACTAAAACGTGTAATATTGAGGTGATCTGAGCGATTTGCCGTATTGACTGTGTAACCATAAGGCAGCCCTCCATTTTGATAATTTTGAGAAGGATATCCTGTAAGAGGAGTTGATTTTGGGAAACCCGGGGTGGGACCAAAGCCGGGTCCCACCTGTTCTAGGAAGCGGGGTTCTCAAGGGACCTGCCTTGAGTGAAACCTTAGGATTACTATATGGAGGAGACAAATCTAATATTTTCAATAGTTTGCTTAGGTCTTGTTTGGATGTATATGAATAAGGCTCGTGAGCACAAGAA